CTAGTCGAGTGTTACAGTGTGTTAGTCATTAGAAACTGTCATTCAGGTTTGTGCAAAAGCAAAATCCACTTGACATTTCAGAATGGAAAAAATAAATAAATAAAAGGCGTAACATTGTACAAAAGGAATGTGAGTCCTTGAGTTCTAAACTGACAGCAAAAGCAGGAGTCATAGAAATGTTTACTAACACTTTAATGATCTCTTTTAACTCGGGCCTCTCCCAGGACTCCACGAGGCAGACAACTGAATTAGGTATGCTGAAACTCAGGGCCACCTACCAGCCCCTGACAACTAACCTGATGGCTAGTGAGTCCCTCTCTAACCTTTCTGTATGAGTAGAAAGACCTGCCAGGCTCTGAAGCCTCACGATAATACTTCTGACCAACTATCCCCTTGTTTACCAAACCCTCTTAAAACGAAATCCAGAGAGGAAAATACTCTTTTAGGGTCCCCAACTAAGTACAAACATTTCTCCTAATTATCTGAGCATGCATTTACTTGTGCATTGAGAAATACCACACAGCGCATGCTCACATTTTACTGCAAGTAAAGCAATGTTCTGTAGGTTGCAAAATCTAATCCCTGACCTCCGAGGCCCTGTGCAAAACTTAAACTTTCGTGCTTCACTCTATACCCTGGCTTCCCATCTATTTACCTCCCAGAAATAATAGCTCATCTTCACCACCGCAGTGCTCCATCTGACCAGGCCACAATGAACTCGCCAACACCGCAAAACCTCACTACGGGGCAGAAACTCATACACCCCCTGTGAACAGCTGAGGCATCGCTCAATTCTAGCCCCAGGTGGGGGAAATTTACCCATTGAGCTATGCAGGCTAGAAAGTTATAAACTGACTGGCAGGGTCACCACTAAATCAAGATGTTATTATTCTCAATTATACTTTCTTTCAAGTATCAGGGTTATTCAAATAGTCTCCCTAAGTTGGATTACCCTGGGCAGTACCGAGCTTCAGCAACTAGAGTGACTTTTCTTTGAAGCCACAGTATCTGTCTTTACTTAGCAGGGCTTAATAAGGTGGTGCCCTAATGCAAAGACTAGAATGTTGCTCTCTAAATGCTCCTTAAATTGTATCCTAAAATAGAGCACAAGTTGTTTATTGTGCAAAGGCACCACACTGGGTCAGTCTTCCAGTTATAGGCCTAGGCCACCTCTCACCTAACTGGGAAAACAAAACCTTTTAACTTCCTACCAAAGAACACAAAAGAGCAGGGCCAGCAGATCCGAATTATCAACAAATATATTCAGAACATCTGCCTACTGTCAGTCTCAGACTTGGTTAGGATGGTTGTCAAGTTTTTCATTGTGACACCAGGGACGAACTTCCCAAAAAAAAAAGTTACTTCCTCTAAACCCTTTACAAAGCCAGCCAGTGCCATGGGCCCTGTAGGTTTCAAAAGATCATCGATGCTCTTCATGCTTGAAAGGGTTAAGTGCCTGCCAGGCCAAAGGCACCAGACTTCAAGAGAAAACATCGCTTCTGTAAGCTCTGAAAGGTTGCTCACAAGTACCAAATACTTGTTGATCTGTTCACAATAAACACCAGCAGGATTGTCAGGCTCCTTTCACTGTCTGGGGAGATCCATTTACATACTGCACCTAGTTAGAACAGCTTGTTGGTCTCCTTTATAAATGTGGAGTAGCTAGAAGCCTCATTCAATGTCTCCCATCCTAAGGATGGAAAGAAGATGCAATTGAAACAGGGCAGTCTCTCCTCTGACTCGGGCAGCACAAATTCGGTGCATAAAACCCTTGGAGTAGTTCAGGCACAAGACAAACCCACCTGAATGGACGAGGAACACTGTCTGTTGCCATGGCAGCATGATCTAATTACATGAGTGATCAGGGCTGGAGTAAGTGCACTGAAAACCTACACCACTGACACGAATCTACATGATGAGAAAGATAGGCAGGCAGGAGGTTCGGGGGAGCCCTTCGACCTCTGCTGATGTAGAAGGTGGCATTCAAGCTGCTTATTTGCCAAGCTGCTGAAATATTGACTGATGCACGCCCTGTTAGAGGGCAATCGGAGATTACCGCCACAGTATTAGCTGCTGTGCTGTAGACCCACCCCCAGAGTTCACCAGCAGGATGTTTTCCTCCAAGACTCTGGAGATTTCTTCTGGCATAAGCTTCAGCCCCCACCCCACCCCACCTCCCTCCACACTCACACACACAAAAAAAACTCAAGCATCAAACTATCCACCAAATAAGCCAGAGGGTGGGCTTCTAGCACCAGCGGGGCTCCGGAAGAAATCCAAACAGAAATGGTTTAGCTCACAGGGTCGAAAAAGTAACTCGCTATGCCTAAAAATAGCCACCCAGGAACTACCCACAGAGGAGTGCAACATATAACGAAGATGTTTAAATATTAAGAGCAGCCTGCATTATAAAACACAAATGTCATTGAGATGCAACTACTAGGCTGCCAAAAGAGAACTTATTTGCATACACACATTCTCTTGCACACACCACAGGCTGGGGAGAATGCCACTCGGTGGTATGAGTTTCCATTCTGTGGGTGTCATAGGGTCTTCTAATTTTGCTAATTGTATCCTGTGGCTCTCAGAGGGGAGCTAAGAGTCTCTTGGAGGACAGAGCCAGTTTGGAGGAGTCCCTATTGCACAGCATACGGTAAACAAAATAAAAATAGCTTGCCGTTCTTGTTAGCCACATCGCGCATTATATAACCAGCTTCCGACTGGCTTCTTTTTTTTTTTTTTCCGCCCTTACTACTCTTCAGCAATTTCCCAATCTTCCCAACTATTTCTATTGCCCTCTTCACGGCAGGATCATATACACTGAGAAAGCGAAACAAAACAGGGCAGCCAGGGGATCGAACCGGAGAACCGAACCCTCAGGTCCTTAGACACTAATTTTGGTTTTGTCTTGTTTTCTGACAGTCTCGATCACCACCCTACTTCCGCCCCCCACGAAGGTCCTTGCTCCAGCTCCCTAGAAAACCTGAATTGTCTTCTCGCTTCCAGGCAGCCCCCTGCACGCTCGGAAATGAAAGCACAAGCAATGAGTTCAGCTCGGCGGCCCGAGGGCGCAAGGCTGAGGGGTCGGACGCGGCCGCCAGCCAAGTGGCAGCGGAGGGCCCCCTCCCCTGCCGACAGCCTCACACCACCCCCCCGCGCG